GGTTAGCTTCCACCATGGCTCTTAATTGATCTTTATTTAAAACAGATTTGGGTCTCCCTTGAGGTTCATTTTTCAGACTCACATCTCCAGAATAAAATTTTTCAAACCAGCAGCGTATAGTCTTTTCACTAACAGAGCCTTCTCCAAAGACAGAATTGATGTTTTTTACTTGGTATGGCTGCACTATATCCTAGTTTAAATTAATATAAAAACAGTATTCACAAATATTTCAAAGATATGGTACTATTCACTTATGTAAAAAGTGATGATTTCTCTGAGTGTTTTACTTGTCCCACCCTGTGGGACAAGATTTACATGCAGCAGTCACCTGTTGGTCACACTCGGTGCATGACTTGACCAACTTCACTTTCTTGGTGTGAGTTGAAGACTTGGTCATCTTTAGCGGCGGTGACGGTGGCAGCAGCAGCAACTTGGGCTCCTTTAAGCCTAGCTAGTATTCTTATGGCTGTTGTTCTAAATTCTTGTTTAGATACAGTGCTTATATCTGTTTGGAGCAAATCCCTGGCTGTGATTTCTTCTTGATCTTTGTTTTGGAGAGATTCCTTCCATCTTGTCATTAAGTCTAGGTTTCTGTCTTGCATTTTGAAAGCTTGTTATGTTTCCTGCTCCTTAGTGTGGGACTATATTAAGGGTTCATACACTGTCTAGGGCCTGGTGCTTCAGGAAGTGTTTCCAGTGTGTGCTGTGTGCACTCAGCCATTGTGTTTTTGGCTGCTATTTCCCACAGGTCAGTCCTCTGCAGAGCTCCTCCTTGTTTACAGTGGGGAGTGTTTGGACCTTTATGTAGGTGTGCTTTTATTTGTTTGATAAGATAAGCCTGATTTAAAAAAAATAAAGAAGAAGAACGCTGATCCAAGAAAAGAGTAAAGGAAAAAGAACAAAACAACAAAGAAACAAAAAATTGTAAGCCTGATTCCAAAGAAAAAGAAAGGAAGAAGGAATAAAGAAAGAAAAGAAGCCTGAATCAAAAAATTTAAAAAAGTCAACAAGTAAAACAACATTTGAACAAAAAACTATAAGCCTGTTTTGAAAGACAAAAAAAAAAAAAAAGTAAAATAAATTTTAAAAAATTTAAAAATAATTTAAAAAAGAAAGTCTGGTCCTATTTCCACCAGAACTAAAGCTGATGCTTTGGAGCACTCTCTGATCAGTAGACTTGGTACATGCAGAGGACCTGTGTTGGTCTTCTGAGGGAGAGGCCGGCTGCACTGGCTCACAGACAGACCTGCCTTACTATGGGTGCCCTGGCCTGGTGCAGGGGCATGGGGTTTGGTGTAAGCAACTGCAGTCTCCACTGGAGGTGCTGTGTTTTTCTCTCTGAAGTCGGACCTTGCTGGTAGGAGCTGGGGTGGAAGATGGTGTCACCCACCTTCTCAACCTGGGGGGAGGGGAATTTACAGCTGCTGCTGTTCGGGAGGCCCTCACAGAAAAGCAAACAATCTCCCCTCCTTTGTTCCAGGCTTTTTTCAGATCCCTGAACTGAAAGCAGTTCTGTGTTTTATCTCTGGCCAGTGGCTGGGATTCAAAATTCCAAATCTTAAGTGACCTGGCAAGGTGCAGGCCCGCTGCCCTTCCCTAGAGGAGAGGCTTACAGCACTGCATCCAGCACCATTCTGCCCCATAAAAGCAGTCCCACGGCTGCGCTGGTGTCGGGAGAATGTGGTGAAGCACAGCAAAAAGTTGTCCCCTGCTGTTTAATGGCTGCTCTATGGCTCCTGGCAGGCCTTTTGTCTTTGGAGAGGCAATACACACTCTTGCAAATGTACCACAGGAAGGGGAGCGTTCTCTCTCAGTGTGACCCAGGGGCTCCCCACTCCACAGTGTTTTGCAGGAACCCTACCAGTCTCTCTGCTTTCTCCCTCTCTCCTTAACTTCTCTCTGCGAAAAGGGCTTCCTCCTCTCGGAGGCACAGCGGCTTTTCTCTTTCTCAGTTCATGTCCACGAACCTCTTATCTGCCCCATTCTCTTCCTCCAATTGTGCAGATTGTTTGCTTAATCCTTAGATCGATTTCCTGGTTGTTCAAAATGACGTGGTGTTGATCTAGCTCTGTTCAGGGGATGAGGCCAGCTTAAGAGTCCCCCTACTACTCTGCCACCAGAACTCTCTGGGTGGTATCTTCTAATTGACAAAATTTATTTGGCAAATGAGATAAAATCTACTTGTGAGCATATTCTACGTAGACTTCTCAGTATTATCTTACCCTGTCGCCCAGCACAAGAAGTACAAATACGATGTTTGTGGAATGCTCTTGGTAATTTGACTAGGCTGGGATTAGAGAGCTGCGTTCTGCTATACATTACCTTAGAGCTGCTGAACTTTCTGAATTAGCCTGCTTTCTGGTTACAAGGGTTGGCTGCTTTCCTTGACCCCCTTTTCCATGTAGATAGTACATAAGAACATTGTTTCTGAGGAGAATTGTTTTTTCTCTTAAAGTCCTAAACTACATCGTTGTTGATTATTTGGTTTGTTTTCAAGAAAACTGCCCCAAATCCAGGGATATCTTAGACTGTATTAAGGAATCTATTGCATTTAAAAACAAGGAAGCAGACAGTCTGGACCAGTTTTACACTTGTCAGACCACTCATAGAATACTGCACTCAGTGTAGGACACTATTTTATGAAATAAAGATGGTGTAGACTCCTGTCTATTTTATATAGCCAACAGATGAAGAATCCAAACAGGTCTACTAAGTATCAAAAGAGAAGCCTCAGCGGAAATCAGTTACTGTCTTCATGTATTAGGTGGTCTGTTTATGGAAGGGAATTGTATGTCATTTCAGAAGGCATAAATAAGACCAACGGCTAGAAAGTTGTTAATTCAGTGAAATGTCCTTTGATAAAGGGCTCTGTAATCAAACAAATATGACAAATGTATGTATCATATTTCTGTTCTAGAATTTTGCAGATACAGATTAAATACATGTTAGGGTCCCTAAAAAGTCATGCAGTGAAATATCTTGTTAAATTTGTTAATGCCAACATTCCATTGTAGTTAGACCAGCAGCACCAGCATTACCTGGAAATGTATTAGAATTGTATCTTTTGGGGCGCCTGGGTGGCTCAGTGGGTTAAAGCCTCTGCCTTCAGCTTAGGTCATGATCTCAGGGTCCTGGGATCGAGCCCCACATCTGGCTCTCTGCTCAGCGGGGAGCCTGACTCCCCCACCCCTCTGCCTACTTGTGATTTCTGTCAAATAAATAAATAAAATCTTAAAAAAAAAAAAAGAAATGTATCTTTCTTAGCTCTACCCCAGACCTATAGAATCAGAAACTCTGGGAGCTGGGCCCAGTAACCTCAGTGATAATAAGTCCTCAAGGGGATTCTGATGCTGCAAATGTGAGAAGTACTGCTAGAAAATTTCTCTGCTTTTTTTTCCCCAATTCAGCAGCACCCTTTTCATTTCTTTTGTACTACTTGCCACAGTTTTTGTTTTTTACAATTTCTTCTAATGATATTCTTTGACTCAGCAGTTCATTTTTATAGTTATCCTTATGTGGTATAGAAAGAAGGAAACTCTTATGAAAGGCTTACCATAGTTTTCAGCCTAATGTAGGTGCCATCCAGGTGGTTTGGATACTGTAAAGAATCCTAAGTAATGAATCCATATCTTCTATGAAGTGAAATACTCATTTCTCTGAGGTAAACCTTAAGTTCATTGGTATTGTTGCCATTTTTAAAAGAACGCTTATTGTTTTTCATTTACTTTAAAATGTTCTTTGTGAAATGTAGACTTTAACATCTTAAAATAATCTGTAATGTGCCCTTTCTTTTGTTAAAAATCAATAAGATTAGAGACTTTTCTGATTTCCTTGCATTAGCAGAGATTAAATTCTTGTAGCATTGTATTTATCTATACAAAGAAGTATGAATGGCACTTTCAGAACAATGAAATTACAGTTTAAAATGATTATGTAAAATTAAAAGTAATTCCCCATAGGTCTACCTATAACTAGTGCCTTATTTTTTTCAGGGGGTATCATAAATGTGTATTTTGAGTGTTTATATGAAATGCTTCTATAAGTCATATGGAAGAATTTTCTTTTCTATAGGACAGTGAAATTGGGTTGATTTATTAAAATATCACAATATATTTAACTTAAATGTATTTGGGACAAAAGTATTAGTGTTCCTTGGAATGAATTATGGCCAAATTCATCTAAATTTCTTTTTTTTTTTTTTTGGTTTTTTTTTTTTTTTCTTTTCTTTTTTATTTTATTTTATTTTTTATTTTCAGCATAACAGTATTCATTCTGAATTTCTTGATACTGTTTTGTCAGCTTTTCTTTTCATACAAGTAAGGGTTCCCTGGTTTATATTACTAGGGCAGTTGGAACTTTATTTTTATTTAGGGGGACAGAGACTGGTAGTCTGGAGATTGGATTTTGATTTGGTTGCTGGTGTCCAACAGCACAATGCCTGGATGCATCCACTTACAACACCGGGTATAAGTGGTGCACTATTACTATATTTAGACACCGACGGTTAGGGGCGCCTGGGTGGCTCAGTGGGTTAAAGCCCCTGCCTTCGGCTCAGGTCATGATCTTAGGGTCCTGGGATCGAGCCCCACATCCGGCTCTCTGCTTAGCAGGGAGCCTGCTTCCCCCCGTCTCTCTGCCTGCCTCTCTGCCTACTTGTGATCTCCGCCTATCAAATAAATAAATAAAATATTAAAAAATAAATAAATAAACACCAATGGTTGGTAGGAATGTGCTAAAGTCTGAATCTAACCACGAATTATGTCCCTGTCCCTGTCCTTGCCCAGGGCAACTGCTACTGTGAAAGGACATGCTCACAAGAGGAGGAGGGCAGCAGAGGTGGTGGTTTGGAGTTAATGTTACATCGTTGCTGACTCAGGGAAAGAGGTTGAGGATGTTGGCCGTGGTTTCTAAAGAGTACCTAGCAGTTGTCACCTTGTGCATTAAGCTTCTGCATGTTTCTCAAATTATAATTTTATGCTTATGATTTTATCTCTGCTTAGTTTTCGTCACAGGAGAAAAAGCCAATTCAGTATTGAAACGCTACCCAAGAGCAAATGGACTTTTTGAAGAAATAAGACAGGGCAACATTGATCGTGAGTGCAAGGAAGAAATCTGCACATTTGAAGAAGCAAGAGAAGCTTTTGAAAATACGGAGAAAACTGTAAGTATCTTGGCAGTTTTTAAGAAACGTTCACAGCTTTGCCTACCTTTAGTTGGATGTAGGTTTGCAATCTGCATTCCCGAATTGTGGGCACTGCTATCAGTTACAGATCAATCCCAAATTACATTTGCAAAGAACTCTGGAATGGCATCGAGGTAAGGATACTCTGTGGATGGGAGGCGGGTTCACTTCCCCGTGTGTTGGTCTGTCTTTGAGGGCCCCTGTTTCCCCAGGACCCTGCTGAGCCGAGACTGATCATCCTAGCAAGGGGGGAGGGCTTGTGTCACATGAGGCTGTGATGGGGAAAGTCACCGTATCATCACCTTACTCTGCCACATCAGTGAGAAAGTGTGGAGGAACCTAATATATACTGACACTGTTTTAAAATCTCTCACTTCTTGGGGCATTGGGGTGGTTCAGTTGGTTAAGTGTCCAGCTCTTGGATTTCAGCTCAGGTCATGATCTCAGGGTCCTGGGATTGAGCCCACATCAGGCTCCACACTCAGCAGGGAGTCTGCTTAAGGATTCTATCTCCCCCTCTGCCCCTCCTCCACGCTCTCTCTCTAAAATAAATAAATCTTTAAAAAATATCTTTTACTTTATGTACAAAAGAGAACATATCCATATTCAAACTCCTTGCCCCACTCTGAAGAATACTCCTTACTTCTTTTTACTCTAGATGACATGCTATTCAAGGAGAGCAGGAATGGGAAAGCAAAAGGCAGTGGTATAAATTCTGTGGCACTGCTCTGCAGTTGAAAATGGCATTATCAGGGGGTAGCCATTATATAAAGATCCATTTTTGTGCACTGACCAAGAAAGTAACACTAGGTGCTAAACACGTGATGTCAGATGTGCTTAGCGGGATATCAATTGTGTCTCAGAAGCAGCCAAAATAGCAGTTTTGAAGAAAAGGGTTTGTTTGCTTTTAAAGATTTATTTATTTATTAGAGAGAGAGAGAGAGAGAGAGAGAGACTATGAGTGGGGGGAGGGGCAGAGGGAGAGAGAATCTCAAGCAGACTGTCTGCTTGCCATGGAGCCTAGCCCAGGGTTTGATCCCACAACTCATGAGATCACAAGTTGGATGCTTAACCCACTGAGCCACCCAGGTGCCCCAGAGAAAGGGGTTCTGATCTTTTGTTAGGTAGAAAAGGACCCAGAAATTACGAGGAAGGAGTTCGAGGAGAGAGGATCAGGGAAGCACCATCATTGGATTCCAGTGTGCAAAGCAGAAGCAAAGTCAGTGTATAAATTGATAAGCTGTGAGCATCAGTTTTTAAATTTGTACTTATTTTTTATTGATGTATAATTGACATATTCTGTTAGTTTCAGGTATACACCATAGCAACTGGACAGTTGCATACATTACTTAATGGTCACCACCATAGTAGGCATCTTCTGTCACCATACAGTGTTGTCACAGTATTACTGGCTGTATTCCCTCTGCTGTACTTTTTATCACTGTGACTTAGTTTATATCTGGAAGTTTGTGCCTCTTAATCCTTTTTATCTATTTTGCTCATCCCCCATTTACCTCCCCTCTGGCAACCACCAGTTTGTTGTCCATATTTAGGGTCTGTTTGCTTGTTTTTCAGGTTCCATATATAAGTGAAATCATATAGTGTTTATCTTTCTCTGCCTCATTTATTTCACTTAGTTCCATACCGTCTAGGCCTATTCATGTTGTTGCAAATGACAAGATCGCATTCTGGCTTATGGCTGAGTAGTATTCCACTGTGTGTGTGTATACCACATCTTCTTTGTCTTTTTTAATTTTTATTGTATTATGTTAGTCACCATAAAATACATCATTACTTATCTGTTTGTTTATCCTTGAACACTTAGGTTGCTTCTGTATCTTGGCTACTGTAAATGATGTTCTAGTAAACATTGGCATGCATATATCTTTTTGTATTAGGGTTTTTGTGTTCTTTGGGTAAACACCTAGTAGTGGAATTACTGGGTCATATGATATTTCTTGCTTAATTTTTTTTAAAGATTTTATGTGAGAGAGAGTACGAGTAGGGGAAGGAGGTGGAGACCGAGGAAGAGGGAGAAGCAGACTTCTCACAGAGCAGGAAGCCTGATGTGGGGCTCCAACCTAGGACCCTAAGTTCATGACCTGAGCCAAAGGCAGATGCTTAATTGACTGAACCACCTAGGTGCCCCCTGTTTTTAATTTTTTGAGGAGCCTCTATACTGTCTTCCACAGTGGTTGCATCAGTTTACATTTCCACCAACAGTGCATGAGGCTTTCTTCTCTCCACATCCTTTGAAAACATTATTTCTTGTCTTGTGGATACAAGCCGATCTGACAGCTATGTGATGATATCTCATTGTGGTTACGATTTGCATTTCCCTTATGATGAGTGATGTTGGGCATCTTTTCATGTCTCTATTGGCCATCTGGATGTCTTTTTTTGGCAAAATGCTTTTTCAGGTTCTCAGCCCATTTTTAAAATTTGATTATGTGTTTGTTTAAAGTGGTTTTTATTTTTTTATTTTAAATCAAATTTATTTCTTTAGTGACAGAGAGCATGAGTTGGGGGAGGGGCAGAGGGAAGAGAGAAGAGTGCACTGAGCATGAAACCTGACTCAGGGCTCAGTCTCACAACCCTGAGATCATGATCTCTGCCAAAATCAAAGTCGGATGTTTAACCAACGGAGCCCCCCAGGTACCCCTAAAGTATTTTTAAAATTTTAAATCCCACAGTTATAAATGAAAAAAAAAAAAATCATCTCCAGTCCTGTCATGCAATCACAAAGCACTGTTGGCCTTTTAGTTTCTTTCTAGCTATTTTGCCTTGCACCTGCTTAGTTCTCATTTGTTTTATTTTACACGTTTTTATTTTTCTTCTTATGAAATTAATATATGGTCATTATAGGGAAATTTAAATTATAGTAAAACAGGAATAAAATCATTTCAATTTTTAGCACTGTCAGTTTTCAAATTTTGGCATATATTATTCTAGCCTATTTTTAATATATAGATAATTTTTAAATAACAGTAAGATTGTAGTATAAATAGTGCTTTATAGCATGCAGCCTTTAATAAAATCTGGTTCGTGTTTTTCAAACAAGCAAAGCTTAGTTTTTGATTTTACCTTTTTTCAAAAAATACAAATTTTAGATATTCTACCATCATTTTCATAAAGCTAGTGACTTTTTTTTTTAAAGATTTTATTTATTTATTTGATAGAGATCACAAGTAGGCAGAGAGGCAGGCAGAGAGAGAGGAAGAAGCAGGCTCCCCACTGAGCAGAGAGCCTGATGCGGTGCTTGATCCCAGGACCCTGGGATCATGACCTGAGCTGAAGGCAGAGGCTTTAACCCACTGAGCCACCCAGGCGCCCCAAGCTAGTGACTTTTCTTCCTACTTTATCATTCTTCTGTAATGGAAAGGTAAGAACTTTAGTGGGAAGATATTTTGAAATTATGTAAATCTTCTCTTCTTCATCAGCCTATTACTCAGTAGTTTTAACATCTTCTATTGATGGTTCTTGACCAAATCAATAAAATCATAGTTGCTAAATGGTGATTTCTAACTCCATCATATGTACATTTATTGGTTGGCATTCCACTATGGGCAGAAACTTTCCCATTATCTAGCTGTCTGTCTATCTGTCTATCTATCTTTTAGTACAGACTCAAGGATTACTTTATAACAATGAATTGTAATCTCTTACTGTCACTGTTTTGATCAGATTGTCCCAACTTTGGCTAATGGAAGTTTCTTTAATTTCAAACTGGCTTCTCTGTCTCTTTGACATTATCATTTTATTTACTTATTTTTTTTTATTTGAGAGCAAGCACATGCATGTGCACACAGTGAGGGGAGAGAGAGAGAGAGAGAATCTTATGCAGGCTACACACCCAGAGCAAAGTCTGACTTGGAGCTTGATCTCACAACCCTGAGGTCTTGACCTGAGCTGAAATCGAGTCAGACGCTTAACCCACTGAGCCACTCAGGCATCCCTGCTTAGGGCTTTTTTTAAATGCAATTTTTTTTTTTTTTTAGGTGGGCACCACACACAATGTGGGGTTTGAAATTTCAACCCTGGGATCAAGAGTTAGATACTCTACTGAATGAGCCACCCGGGTGTCCCTTCAAGTGTTTTTTCCATTTTTATTGTAGCCATAAATTAAACACATTTTATTGAATGTGGATTTTTGTTCATAGTGGAAAAGCCTTCTACACCATAGTTAGAGAGGAATTCACAGTTTCTTCTCATATACTTGAGTTTTTACATTTAGATCTCTGATTCACTCACTAGTTTATTCTTTTTGTTTAAAGATTTTATTTATTTATTTGACAGAGATCACAAGTAGACAGAGAGGCAGGCAGAGAGAGAGAGAGAGGAGGAAGCAGACCCCCTGCTGAGCAGAGAGCCCGATGCGGGGCTCGATCCCAGGACCCTGAGATCATGACCTGAGCCGAAGGCAGAGGCTTTAACCCACTGAGCCACCCAGGCGCCCCTCACTAGTTTATTCTTGAGTATAGTGTGAGTTATGGATATGATTTTTTTTCACATGGCTATAGAGTTGTCCAAAGACCATTTCTTAAAAAAAAAAAAAAAAAAGATCCCTCTTTGCTCCAGTGATTTTTCGTTGTCCTTATGCATCTTAGCGCTTCTCTGTATCTTCCCGCCCACAGAGATAGGATGCTGCATTTCAGCAGTCTCTGAAGCAAAGAGAAGAAACTCCTTCAGCAGTTGCTCAAGCAGTTCTCTGTCCTCTCCAGCATCACCTTTCTTCTCTGTAGATTCATTCTCATTAGTCTACACACCTTTAAAAAGAACTCCCTTCACCCCTCATCCCGCTCCAACAACTCCCTCATATCTTGAAACTCTGTTCTGTCTGTACTCAGCTCCCCGGTGCCATGGTTGGGAAGGCTAACGATCCAAATTTATATCGTGGAGGGCCACCCTGAACTGCAGAACTGTGTGACTCACTGCTTACTCAGCATCTCCTCCAGGATTTGAATACGTTTCTTAAAGTC